GGCATAGATATAGGACTATTGTGACTGCTGAGTGAAAAATTGACTGGTTAACTAAATCAGAATTAAGTTATCTCACAACCGCCTCCCCATTTCCGCGCATTGTGGCTACGATTGATTCCATCTGTTGCGATACTGTACGCCTATTGTGAAAGTGACACTCAGTCTATGCTTGAAGGGTTTCGTCGCATGGCTACGCAGCGACGGTCGCTGCTTTCCTTAGCGGGGAAAGCTCTGAATGGCCAACAAAAACGCACTGGTTTCATTCATAAATGGAACCGTTTTATACGATGGCAAGAACTGGATAAAGCAAGGGTAGGTCTTTGAACGCCGTTACGAAATCTTATGGTTACTCTTGCTCTCTGCTTCAAATTTGTTTTTTTTTGTTAGCTGTTTTTCACAGCCGTTCGCTGTGCAAATGTTGTCACAAGAGTTGCAGAGTTATAAGCACTTTACCCCTGCCAGGAATTGAACCCAGACTGTATTTCTTACCAAGCAGCGCACTTATCGTTGCATACCATCACTGGCTAGTATAGCAAGAAGAGGTTGTGCCCGATAAGCTAATGTAAGTAAATATATTGCCCAATAGACAAGGCGGTCCAAGTTTCCAGCGGGTGTATAGTGTTTTGCCCATGCCCCTTCATCCTTTTAATGGTGTTCACCCGTGGTTCACTTGAGGCACGACCCAACAAGGGCGTGCTAGGGGTGTTCGTTTTTTTTTCGGGATGATGTAGTGGTGGGAGAAATGCGATTGTAAAACATTTGTCAGGTAATTCCTTATCACTTGCCTTTGCGTCGCGTTGTAGGCCATATGTAAGAGGTAAAGTCAATGCTTTGAACGTCGAGCAATGAGATAACGATAAAAGTTACCCAGTGCCAAACAGAAAATATCTCAAACTCATCCATCCCTCAAAGAGTCGCATCTCATTTTTGACCTCTTAGACTTTATATTGGGCGAATCAGTGCAGGCAATGAAGCATCTAGGCAAGCACACTTGTGAAGTATTACTCGGTGCTGTCTAGCCCCCGGTGGTGCTCATGCCTAGTGTGGAGCGAGACCATGAAACAGGACCACAGACGGCTGGTAGAGCCTTTGGATCACTGTCAGGGCTAATCATCAATATTTACAGGAAGAGCATCTGCGTGAGCGTCACTTGATGCAAAATTACATCAGATTCCCCACAGGAATGTACTTAACTCCAGAGCGCCCTGAACACGGTTCGTTTTCTTTTTTTTGCTCCTTGCTTCTTTCGGGCTTTCCAATTTTTCCATACCGACTGTTCGAATGTAGGGGCTACACTATAAAGCTGTTTATTACCAATCATATAGTACGGGCGTTTTTCAAAGAACAATGTCTTGCATGTTTCGATCTGAAAAAATGATACCGTCGTTACATATAACTGCATTTGTAAGGAAGCGCGCGCGAAAGCTTCGTGCTCCCCGTAAATGCCGTCGAAGGATCAGGCATCGTCTGCCACAGTTTGAAACCACAGCGCTGTTCAATTAACAAAGTAAACAGGTTTCACCAGACGGTGAAAGAACAGAAGCTCCATGTAATGCGCTTTCATTACGTCGAATTACGCGACGGCTATACAGATTTGTGCGCAGAAACTCAGCGACAGCTCTGATTGCCATGAAGAAGATTGCGGGAAAAACTGACATGTCGACTGTTGGTGATCTTCATTTTATTTTTATGGAATACTGTGAACATACCAGAGCATTCGCGTCAAGGGGGGGAGGGGGAGGGAGGGAGCGTGCCACTTGTTTCGTATTCTCTGACCAAAGTCCGCAAAGAGGAGGGCGACGAGCAGTTTACACGGGTGTCGCCACCCAGACAGGGGTCAAGCGTGCACAGATTTATTGCGGAAAAGATCTCACAGAAGGGAATTAGTGAGAGAGGGCATCACGTACAAGAGTGTTTTGCTGTTTAAAATAGAAAAATGAAATATGGACAAGAATGGGTGGCCTGGTAGGAGAATCCTACATGCTGGACTGGAAGTAAAGGTACTCAGACATTCACATAGTAGCACAGCACGAACTATCACATGGTACGGCACGCACCTCACGAAGTCATATTTAACCACTTATCTTGTTAAATTCATTCTAATTCATCATCGAAATGCTATTCCGAATTTTCCCTGCATGTTTCCGCTCACTTTCCTCCCCTTTTAAGCCAGCCTGTGGTCAACTTGGGTTTTTTTTTACCCAGGTTTGTCCATCTACTTACCTAGACAGATCGACACTACTATTCTGTTCCAGTAGAACTTATGAATTGCGTTTTTAACGGAGTAAGCTTCACGGCGTACTTTCATGGGGGTTTAAACGTTTTTTTTATATTTTACCCCTTTCAAAAAACTGCTTGAATATGTATCTGTTTAGTAATGCCAAAGAAGGATCTGGCTGATATGACGCGGAGGGAAACAGGAGCAGTTCCGATGGAACTGCTTACCTATCAAACCCAGATGAGATATGTTGATCACAGCTTCGACAATATCCGACGCTATAAGCGCTATAGGCATTTCCAACATCTCCAATATGATCAGAGGTAAAAAACCTGCTTTGCTTTTTTTTATGCGACGTCAATGCAGTGCAAATGCAATTTCAGAATGATCCCTGAACGACTGTTGTTCTTGGGCCCAGATCTGGCTGCCGCGCATTTTCTAGTCCACAGAGGAGCTTCAGTGAAATTTATAGGTGATGATGCTTGGTACGCAAAGGACAAATCAGGGGTTAGTTTGGTGAGGGTGCGGACAACTCAAATTCTAGCCTTTTGGAGTCTTTTTCAGAATTACAGTCTACCTGGAACTAAGGTGCCAGGACTTTACTTGGAAGCAATAGACGCATCAGGAACAGAGCTTATGTTTGAAGGTTAGAATTAGCAGCTTCATTCTTTGTGATCTTGATCACTAAGCGTTTCCAGGTTTCGAGAACTTACAAAACCTAAGCCATCTGAGGATGCTTCGGTTAGCAGACTGTCCTTATGTGGACGATTGGACATTATCTAGAATAGGAGGAATGATGGAGGGTTTAGAGATGCTGGACCTGAGTGGCTGTTATCGAGTTTCTGCCAAAGGTAAGAGGATTTAAAAAGTTCCTTGTTGATTTGAGTTTGATTGGGTGTACGTTTTGCAGGTCTTATGGGTTTGAAGATGCTGAAATCGTTGAAATATCTCCGGCTTGAAGGGATAGACTGTAAGGTGAGCGTAGCGTTCTGCACCACTATTCAATCAATATTTCCTTTTCGATAAGTACAAATTTTAAGCTGGGGAAGGATACTGTTGATCTGACCTTGAGCAAGGGAAATATGGAGAATGAGGGAAGTGAATGCCTCTTTCATGTATCGGTGAAGTGTAGTGCATGCTGTTCTCTGTCTTTTTCTCTCCAGTTTATTGTTCATACTTGTCTGAAACCATCATTCGAGGATTATAAGTGCTGTATCAGCAAATGGCGCTGTTCAGGGTGCTGGTATTATGTGGTCGAAATCCGACAAGGCTGGTGAAGGTTTTTATCCCTCCAGTGTTGGTTGTTGGTACCAGAGCAATCTGGAGGGAAAGGAGCGCTTATGTACATGTACGCCGTCAGACATCGCGACAAATTGTATTAGGAGGAACCGTGAGATCCTGGAAGGAAGCGCAGTGCATGACACGCTCTAAAAGGATTGATCGGCACCTAAAACAACACCCTAGCCAAGGTCGTGTTGAAGGATCTATTTTGTGGTCAGGCTAGGCTCACGAGTATCACAAATGTACCGTTGTCGCGGTTGGAAAGTGCACGATAATGGCGCTAGGCCTTTCCAGAGATTGGTGGCGACCAGTAAGAGCTTATGGACGATATAACCTCGTCACGATAAACACCCAAGTTGGACCTAGGAAGCGGCGGCGCGGATTAGGGAAGCCGTGGAGCAAGCAAGTTTGGACAACTCGTCCGACACGTCCCTCCTATTATTTCCGGGAGAGATGGGAGGGGGTCCTTGTTTCAGGTCTCCATCGGTAGTTTGCTTTGTTTCTTTTTTGTTTTCAGTCAACACGGCATCCACGATTTCATTATCGACCCCTTTTATCCATCCCTCTGTTTCGATCTCGGATTGTTGCTTTCACACTTTGTTCTCTTTCCTTATATTTTCTTATATAAAAGGATAAAGGATAAAGCATTTGCCGTTGATCAATCCCTTTTTGGGATGCGGCACGCATTCTACTTCCATTTGTACATTCGCAGTGGCGTTTGAATGCGATGTGGCCTATACAATGACTTGCGGGGCCAGCCGATGTACAAGTCAGTGTTTTTATCCTCCCAGACAAGTCTGGTACCAATTAACCGACCCCGGGGATGGAAGGCTTGGTTGGCCCGGGCGACTCACGACCCAGGATTTGATCCCGGACCGCTCGCGTGGTAAGCGCGCCACTTGTCACTACACCACTTCCGCCCCATTTTCTTATATATGCATGTAAAAGGTGCTTCTGCGGACCTCTGAAACGTCTTGCCCACCCTTCCATAGGAATCCTATTTTCTTAAGATTTGGACACCCAGATGTTGCTTCCATAGTTAAAAAGAATTGATTGGCAGCAGAGAGCTGCGACGAGCTTAGTTTCTTTTTTTTAGAAACACCTGGGCAAGGCGCCATTGCTGTTAAAAAACTATACCCAAGTTGAAAGTTCTCGGCATCGATTACGAGCATGAATTAGAAGAACTAGAAGCAAATATGAGACTTCTCGAAAACCCAAATGTCGTCGAGGATGCTAGAGGTGCGGCTTGGCCCTTCGAAGGCTGTCATTTTTGCTGTCCGTTTTCAGTTGCAAAGATTTCAGGAAATATTTTCGCTGAGGACGACAATGGGCGATTATTCTACATCGGAGGGACGTCCAACGAAGGCGTCCGGGCCGTCTGTGACAGAGACGTAAGCTATAATGACAAGCACTATACGGAGGTTGGGCATCCTTTTTGATGCCTCTGCTACGTGTGTATCCCGTTTTTATTCCAGGGAGATTCCAAAAATGAGTGATGAAGAGTTCGAGAGGATCGACAGACTGTCCGGAGGCAAGCTGCGACATCTCCCTTGTCGGATCTCCCAGCGGCTATGAGTGGAATTCACAGGTGTGTCACCCGTGCTACACTTCCATTTCTCAAATAGTACGCAAAAACGGAAATTGGAAAATTTAATATTTTGGTCTGATTTTCCATTTCTGCAACTATTTTTGATTACCTTCGGAAGGTTCCCAAATATAAATTTCGAGGTGATTATGAATGCAACATCGAAGCAGTCAATGTCTTTAAGGGAATCGATAGCATGGCAGCATTCCAAACAAAAGATTGCCTACGTTTACCCTCGTCTGGATTATGAGGATGCCTTCGGGCGAGGGTAATTATATTGCACGGCTCTTAATCCAGCATCTGCGGGAAAAGTCTTTCCAACTTTCTCGGAAAACTAGTCCAGCGGTCACACTAATCGAAACGAGCACGTCGGTCGCGGATTGGTCGCAGGTGGATTGCTTAGCCCTACTTCTACGATGGGGCATTTCCTACTAAAACCAGTTCGGTTTGATATCTGTTATGGATTTGGGCTACGCTAAACTTAAAAAAGTTCGATATTTTTCAAGGGAGGTTTCAGGCGTATTTTACGCTGATTTGATGGCTTGATTTTTTTTAAGATTTTTTTTACAATCTCTCAACGGCTTACATATGAGGCCCAGCAAGCAGTTTTCTCTTTTGTGCGTTTCCTTTTAAGAACCAGTAACGTAGGGAAGTGCTGATAAACCCTTTATACCTACATTCGAGCGCTGTATCTTTATCGCTGTTTGTCACGAAATTGAGCACTGTGCGAAAAATCAGCTAGAGAACTGGTGTCAAGTTTCGTCTGTATGGACGGGACGGTGTAAAGAAGGGAAAAGAAGAATTTTGGCTCTAGAATAGCTCAGAAGCCGGCAAGAATGGGTAAGCTCGTGGATGAGATGACGGAACGTATCCGCTGTGGGCGGAGCGTTCATTAGATGGGCGGTGCTCCTTAGAAATCCGGCAACAGGCATCCTGCAGGATTAACTGAGCACACGTCTCCAGTTTTTTTTTTCCAATAACAATTGCATAGCTCTTATACTAATTTTAATTTAAAGTCAGTCAGTCGCCCAGTTTTATTTACCCATGGGTTTTTAATGATTTTAATGTTAATTTTAAATTTAATTTTAATGATAATTTTAGTGTTATAATTGACTTCTAACTAAACAAAAATGCTGTTCACCTTTACAGCGTTCAAATTTGTGTACACCGCCGCTCGTGCGAATTTCAATTCGATTTCGAATCCGAAGAAAAGATTTCCTTCCAGGTAGAAACAATCCTTCAATTCGAAGCGGATTACAACGAAAAGCGAGGGATTCCTGTTGATCCGAAAATGTTGCCGAAAGAGAGGAGAAAGGAGGTCAGCAAATTGTTTTCTTTCCGCAATGTTTTTTGTTCCACTGTCATAAAGTTAGCTGTTGATTTTAGCTGTTGGAAGAGGAAGAAAAGCCGAAGTTACTGGAAGAAGAGCGTATGAAATTCCTGAATGAATTCGATGAAGAATGGAAGACTCTGGAGAAGAAATTGCTGGAAGAAGGTGCTGAAGAGATGCAAGAGGAGCGATTAGAGGAAGAGAGGAAAAAGCGAAAGCAGGGTGTTGGCAGTTAAAAACGGGATGTCATTTGTGTAGCCTAGTCGTCGTAGATATTCTGTAGATGTTTTGCGCTCCAATAAATGCATCAGATCTGGTTCATTCGTCGGCTTTCTCTCGTTCGCGGAAATCTGTTGGGCGGCCGGTGTTCGCTGGCGTGCGACCTCGTCCGAGTGGTCGTCGCTATGCGGCGTCCTCCTTCGAAAACATTCTCTGTCTCAGCCCCTACTTCCTCGTATCCATCGTCCTCATTGTATATTCTTGCCAAACGAATTCCGCTCAAGCTGATTTGGGTGTAGTTGAGCTGGTCCAGTAACTCTTCTTGCTCATAGCCATCCTCTGCCTTCAGTGAAGAGCTTTTTCTCCTAAGTATAGCCGACCCAAAGGTCCACTGGATGAGTCATGTCCTTGGTCAAGTTTTTCTTCCGCTTGCACTTTCTTCTCATCGATCGATCCGAGCGCTAATCTCCGGAGCAGTGGTTCGCTAATAATTCTTTGTGTTCGTGAGCGCAATTGGTGGCTGTCTGGCCTGACCGCACCTGGCAACAGGTCGTGCGGGCGTGCATGCAAAAAGGCGACTACCGCAAAAACAACGGCGTAGTGAACAAACAACGTCGTCGGGTTCGAAGGCTGTCCGGATGCCCACTTGCTTCTGCAACGACCCAGCGAAAGAAGAACAGCTAATTGCTTCTACATGATTGCCCCGGATGACACATTTCTTCTCGGAATCGCTAAACACCGGATCTTTGCATATAGTGATTCTGATCCCTGTGTATACTGTGTTTATATGCATTTAGGGTCCATTCCAATGAGGGGGAGAGTATTTCGTGCCGAGGGAAGGCTTTTAAATCTGCAATTTTCTTCTTCTATTGTAACCGCTTAGAAGAACCAAGTACTGGTAGTTAGTTAACTAACTTATGGGTTACTAACCATAACTGACCTGGAGTGGCGCTGTTCTTCTCTTGCGGTAGTGGACTGAGCCTTTGTGGAAGACGATCTCGTCGAAACGAGTAATAATAAAATTCTCCACCTAACAACCTCGTTGGACAGAAGAATAACATCATAATCAAACTAACTACTGTGTTTTTTTTTGCACAAGGAAAAGGATTCGCAAGAAAAAGGATTCGTAAAACCTTAGAGTGCTTAACTGCTCCAGGGGAGTTTTAGAGGCCCTCATTCAGCGTTAATCTAATCTTTTGCCTCTTCTAGGAATAGGTATTCTGTATGGATATTATTTTATAATATATTTATGCTGGGGCGGTAGTGGTGTAGTGGCGCGCTCACCACGCGAGCGGTCCGGGGATCAAATCCTGGGTCGTGAGTCGCCCGGGCCAACCAAGCCTTCCATCCCTCCGGGGTCGGTTAATTGGTACCAGACTTGTCTGGGAGGATAAAAACACTGACTTGTACATCGGCTGGCCCCCGCAAGTCATTGTATAGGCCACATCGCATTCAAACGCCACTACGAATGTACAAATGGAAGTAGAATGCGTGCCGCATCCCAACTGTCCATAGTTTATTATGTTTTGATGTTGGAGGCGTCAGAATTATGCCTTGAAGAAAAGAAAAGGTCGTAACGTCGGGCCATTAGATGAAAAAGGTTCCAACTATCAACCTCGCTCGGCACAGAAGAATTAGACACTTTCATGTTTATTTTATATTTTTATTGATTATTTATTTTTGGATTTTATATTTTTAAATTATTTTATTAAGGACTTTTATGAAGAATATTACTATTACTATCACTATTATTATTATTATTTTTTTGTTCATCTTTTATTACCTATATTTTATTACAATGTTTTTTCACCATATTTTTTCGCCAATTTTCCCGTTCTTAAAAACTGTTGTCGCGCCTTCTTGTTGTACTCAGCCGAAAACCAGTTCGAACGATGTGCTAGCATTAATATCGGGGTGTGGATGAAATAGGGGTAACACAGTGAACCGTTGATTAGCTGTGTCCCTTCCTGAGGCCCACTTAAATCCATCTTTCAGCTCAGAATTTGTCTTGTGCCATCCCGTCGCAATTTATGTATTATTTTTTTTACTCACTGTTACGATTGACCTGTAAATAAATAAATAAATTTATTGACTTTTGAATGGGAATCGGCTTTAGGAGAGTTGCTGAGGCTGGAACTGTTTCGGAATTAAGTACTTCTATCCTTCCAGGCGTTTATTACCAGATAATCGCTCCTGGGAATGGCAAGCTTGGCTGTCACAGGCGCAGGTCGAGCCATGATTTGATCCCTGGATCAAGCGTGTGGCGCTAAAATGGCTCCACTTGCCTCAGTACAGCTGCGTTAACTTCGAATAGTCCCATAAATTATACGAATCTAATGTGTATTAAACAATGTGAGACTTCAAAATTTTATTGCAAAAGACTCAAAACTTTCTACAAAAGAAGATTGCAAAAATGAGTGTTTGCAAAAGTTTTGCAAAAGTTTAAGCCTTTTTTGGCGAGCTTTCGGCGCTTAGCGCCTTTGTCGAGCCTGAAATGAAAATTATAAGCTTTCTTAAAGTCTGTTAATATATTAAAATATATTAACTGACCCACCTGCTGTCCACTTTCAAAAGTGTAACACTTACCACCCTTGTCGGTCTGTGAAGCAGGAACTGTTCCCTACCCTAGACTTACCCTTAAATAGCGTTGACGTGCTACGACCGTTATTTCCCAAAATATCGCATTCATTCCACAGTGATGATAACTGCAGTCATGCGATGAGTTGAAGAGAGTCACGTAACTCGTCTCTGCTATTTATTTCCGGGGCTAGTCTTTTTATTTCCAGAGCCTCCAGTATTTTGCGTTCCACTGTGTTTTCAACGGAACGGTGTAGGACTTTTACGTTGAGGGTGGGTGGATCCCCTTGGGCATGTTGTTGGGTTCTATGTTATGATGAGGAGGGTTTTGTTCCGTTTCTCAACACCAAAGTTCGCATCAACGAAGGAGAGAAGGAACTTCAATGGTACAAGAAACCTGCATCTAGGAATATACTTTTACATGCTAGAAGTTGCCACCCCATCTACATGAAGGCCAACGTCGTCCGCAATCTGATTTCAACCAAGGATAAAGTCTGCAGTCAGCCTTCAAGTGAAGTAGACATAATGGTGGAACGTATTTTGAGAGAAAACGGATATTCCAATACAAACTTGCAATCATGGAGACCGTACTCCACACCTGATGGGATCACCATGATAATGCCGTATGTTAACGAAAAAATAGCATGGAAGGTCAACAATGTCGTAAGGAATTCCTCACTCCCAGTACGACTTGTGTTCCGCCCACCCCCGAACTTGAAGCGACTGCTGACATACTCCAGACCTTACGAGGATAAATGTGGGAGGAATGGTTGCATCTACTGTAA